CAGCGCTTCGAAAGGCAGCGGGCTTTGGAGGGCACCAAGCAACTTTATTCTGCTCCTTTTGCCTGTTGGATCAGAAGAACATTGAAGAAACAGACAAATCCAAGTTTCCACTCCGCACCCATGAAGAGCATCTTGCCCACGCAACTGAATGGCTAAACACTGACAGCCGCACCGACAGGGATGGACTGGTGAAGAAGCATGGTGCAAGATGGAGTGTTCTCAATGATCTCAAATACTGGCGTCCAATCGAATATTCCTCAATTGAATTAATGCATGCATTAGCTCTTGGGGATCTGAAAGACCACAGCATGCGTTATTTTGCTCTGCCAACGGCTGGTGAAGAACTTGAAAAGAAGAAAACAAAGGATGAAGCATGGCAGAATGATCAGTCATACACAGAACCTCCCTACACCGACACATATGGTCCGAAGAAAAAGGAATATGTCACAATGGGAAAAGGCAAGAGAAAGCGTGATTCTAATCTCCCCATTTCACCCACCGAAAAACCAAACAAAAGGAGACGTGTGCCCACCAACAAGTCCCCCACTCCCAGGAGTTCAGCAGAGGAACCGGGATCAAGTAGTAACTCATCTGCCAACACGGATTCCAATGTTTCAAACTCAGACAATTGCAGCAGATCATCTACTCACTCATATAAGCTCCGGGTTAGAAAGCAAAATGTTGTACGATATGAGTGAACAGGAATCAATTGGGTCAGATGGAGAGTCTTGTGCAAGTGACAAGACTGCGAGACAACAAAGAAAGGGAAAAATGCATGATCAGGAGGCGGAGAAATCGGACAGAGGAATTCGGCTTACTGCAGAAGAGCTTGATGTGGTTAGAAGAACCATCATGCACACCACAGTGCCCTCTTGGATGGACCGTGTGCCTCGGAACTTGGGGGCAGCCAATCACGGATCCCTGAAGGCTGCAGAATGGTTGATCCTGTACAAAGTATACTACACCATCTCGTTGATTCCACTCTGGACTAAACCAAACACTGGCTTGGAAACACAGGAAGAGAGGAGCCGCACTTCTGCCCTCCTCCGATCAACCACACTTTTATGCCAAGTTACACAGTTCCTCACTCTTCCAGTTATTAAAAAAAAGGATCTTGACGAGTTTGATGATCTACTACAAAACTACCGTAAATGCCTTCAAGAGAATTGGCCAGAAGAACCCAGTCGTCCGAACCTACACCTGACCCAACATTACCCTGAGGTTATACGGAGGTTGGGCCCACCTAGATCAACAGCAGCATGGGCCCAAGAGCGGGTGAATGGAATTCTGCAGAAGCTCCCCACCAATCATCATCCTGGTATGTTCCTAACATTATATCTTCTTGAGGAGTGTGTCACCATGCTAAACAAATAAATACACCTATCTTCTGCAGACGAGATGCCCAAGACAATTTTGAAAGAATGGCATGTCAATTCAAGCTTCAAACTGCTATTGAATAGCCAAATGAAAGATCCCACAATACAAGATTCAATGTCCAAGTCAAAAAACACGGAGCAGTTTGAACTTGAAGGGTCACACTTGACCAAGTGGAAACGTGCTGTTCTTGGCAAAGCCGCTACAAGGGGGAAGCTTGGCAGTAATGAAATTTCTCTCAGCCCAAAGGTCGTTTCTCAGAAGGCTTTCGAGATCAACCAGAAACGATTTACCTCCTGCACGGGACACAAGGGGAATAGTTTGGTGGAGTTTTTTCTGGGAAAGGACCAAAGGTTTGGTGAAATCCAAACAATTTTCACATCCAACCAAACACCTGGAAAGACTTGGATAATTGTGAATCCATTCAAAGAAGTACAAAGGAACGAAGATCCATACCGAGATTATCCTGATCTTAATTGCCGGCTGGTTCAGTCTGATCATGAGGTGGAGGTGGTGCTTGACACCGAAGCAGTCATAGGACACTGTGCAATTTTGAGGCACCAATGTGGTACTTTTGGCATCTCAAAGGAGACCATCAGCGCAGTTGGATTGGGAACATCTGTAAGCACCCCTTTAAATAAAAGTTTGTTCACATGATACATACACTAAATATGTTTTTCGATCTGTGAAGGGGTGGGAGGGTCTTTGATTTAGGTAAAACTTGGAGATAACTTGGTAGTTGGACCAAATCATGTCGGTGATTGTTGAAAGGAAATTGTATCTTGCCTAAGCTGGAAGTCATGACAAAAATCTGGGCAGAAGAGAAGTGTAGTTAAAAGTCCGTTCAACTCATGTTGCGAACATGTTCAAATGAGCATCATCCATGTACCCAATATCCCTAGATTATAATTATTTTTGACTACTCCTACTATCATCGGTCTCATAGTTTACTCGTTACAGTTCTTATTCCTGTGATTTCTTGTAATGCCCACCAACACAACCGATGATGCAACCAATGAGCCCACTGGGGGTAATGAAGGCGAAAATCCCGGCGGTGCAGCAACTGGGACGGATCATCCTGATGGTTCCCAATCATCCCTTTCCCCCGATGAAGCCATCATTGCCTTTGTGGTTTCCAGTCTGATTCCCAAGTTCCAAGAGCAGGCTAGCAGCACTCCGATGGAAACGGATCAAGATGCGTCACCTGGGGGTTCGTCAAATATGTTATCTTTTGATGAGTTGTGGCTATTCACACATACTGATGAGCATACTAATTTCAGACCAGTCTGAAAATCATTCAACGATTCCGGCAAAGTTGCCAAAAGAACCACAGTTGCCAGCTAAGTTTGTTGTTGCACAACAACAACTGGAGAAGGCCGATGCGGAAGAAGTGGCGGGGAGAAAAAGAACTGAACGGCGTGCGAGGGGAATGGCTCAACGCAATACGACCGTCAGCCATTTTCAACCATACGCCAGAGGCGTGCAATCGTTTCTTAAGTTTTTTCTTGGGGGTCCTGAGAAGCCTCACGATTTCCCCCCACCTCCCACAGAAAAGGAGAAGGAGGCGCAGTATTGGATCGAAAGGCGTACTCAGTTTATCTTGAAGCAGCTAGATGCCATCCGTCAAACCCTTCGTGAAAAATCCGTTGTAGAACAAGACTACTTTATCTCTCGAGCAGAAGCTGAAATTCGGAACAACATCCAACCACCCCCCTTCACTCCAGCTCCCAAAAAGGGTGAGCCCCGAGGCAGCCGACCAATTAGTGCCCAAACAAAAGGTGCGGTTGAGAGAGAGTTGGCATCGGCAGGGATTTCTAGGATGACTTTTGATTGGACGGTAAAGGATTGCGACTCCTCAGCGTGGAACTCGGCGGTGGTAGAAGTAATGGGAAGGAAGGCGGTGGAATGGCTCCGGCTTTCGATGAAAATAACCGAGGAAGATGCAGCGCAGGCACCAGCCATCATTCAGCGGTGGGTCCACGGAAAATGTCGAGAGATTCAACAAGCGCAGGGGGTGGAAGTCAAGGAATATGAAGCTGGGAAGAAGGCTAAGTTAGCAAAAGCCCAATATACCCGCTGGCGCAAAAAAGTAAGTGTGTTTCCCATCTGAACCTCCGAGATATACCAGCCCAACTGATATATGAAAAACATCCATGTCTTCAAGATTTGTGAAAACAGGTGTGCGATGGCGGCAAAACTCTACCCTAATAATCATCGACTAGCCGTTGTTCTTGCGGATAAGGATTCACATTCGGATATTGAAGGGGCAGAAAAGGAGGGGGATCGGCCGGTTAGATGTGTGCCTGTTTGGCGAAGCGACTCACTTACCACTGTGATGCATGGGCTGGACAAGATGGTGATTGCTCAAGCTCAGCACCACAAACAAATATCGGTCAACAAAGACCTCTACGGACGTTCAAAATCCATATTCAGCAGGAAGAAGGGGATCGATGGAGTTCCACGGAATCTCCCTATTGATTGTTATAGCAAGTCATGGCGAGATGGATTATGTAAATTCGAGCAAGATACAGTATCCGAGGCGGCCGCGTTTTCTGTCGTAAACCTGGCCAAGGGGATTGATAGTCTTGTGACATTGGCACCTCCGGCAGGACCCACCGGAGCTGGAGGATCAGTGGATGTGAGATCAAGTGCTCAAGCCGGTCCAAGTGGGGAGAGGTCCATGAATGTAGACTAAATTCTTTTATATATGCTGTATTATCTTTGGATAGGAGGAATTGTACTTGAGTACTGGGCAGGAATTATATTACTTGTTTCCGGTCTGTGTGGAGGTTTTGTCAAAGAATTGGTACATGAAGATTAATGGCGTTGGGTGGTCGATGGTACATATGTGGTTTAGAGGCTTGGGACATCCAACCATGAGATTTGCAGGAGCGGCAAGCGCACTCATGTGTCACACAAACGTACGCGCGTACGTTTGTGTGACACATTTTTGAACACTGGTCCCTGCCGAGGTGCAGATTCTGCTCATGTAATAATCACACTTCATGTGTAATAACCTTGTTCTTTGTGTCTTCTGCAACTTAATCTGTGCACAAATGTTTATGAAGGATGTCTGAAGTGTTGTCCAACTGCTGGGTAAACAGGGTTTGTCCTGCCCTTGCCCTGAAGTTCAATCACTGTTTTCCCTGACTTGAGGATTTTTCGGTTCCTGATTTCCCTTGAGAGAGGATAATCATCTGCTTGCCACATGGTAGGTTCCAACAAAGTTATTCTAGACCAAATCTTAGCTATTGCATAAGAAGCATGTTGGTGGAGTGAGCTTAAACACAAGTAAATACACAGCTTTTCCCAAGGGTGGTGATGCTGACCACACCCAAAACTATAAACAAAGGATTATCTATCCCCTGTGTGATGTTATCATCCTTTGATGTGCTCAGCGGTACAAACAATAGATTGTGGGTGCACATGGTAAAATTTTTTTTCACCGTGGGACTGTTACCCATTCCAGAGACGTCAGTAAGGGTTTAAAAACCCCTCTCCTGTTCTCGATTTTGCTCCTTCCTCCCCCCATCCCAAAAAAAAAATAATAATAATTCCATCCATTCTGGAATACCATCTCAACATCACATATAGTCCTATCCCCCTCTGAAGCTCATCTAAAAACAATGGATCCTATCTCCCCAGCAAGTGATACCACCAAAAGTCACACCAATTCCGAAGATTCTGTCTCTCAAGAAGGCCATGGAACTCCTCCCCCAAGTATGTCCTCTTGATCTTGACTTCATACCCAAACTGACTAAGTATGGCCTCACTTGTCCAACAGCCGACACTGTACTAGCCAAGAACTTCCAAAGTGTTCCCCCCCTGTCTGCTCCATCAGTTCGCCCCCCTTCCTTCCAAGAGTTTGCTCTCAAAGCCAATGAACCAAGCTCGTCTGCCCCACTGATCCCTTCTGAGCCCATACTCGACACTGAAATCCAACAAATCACTGCCGAAGAATTTAATCGAAACATGATGGCGGCCGAGCAAGCTACACGTGGCCTCCGCAACCTCAAACTTCCCAGGAGCCTGAAGGAGCAAGTTGAATCACTTGAGAAGTCTCTTGTTCGTACCAAGAGAAGTAAGTTTGATGTTTCATCTTGATTCTTACCTGAATTGTCTGACATGCAATTACCACAATGAAATTCTGATATAGCTTGGGAAGAAACTGGCGAAATTCCTGATGATGAAGCAATCAAGATCCACCAAGGCGCGACAGCAGCCCCCTCTTCATCAACACCGAATTTCAAAAAAAACCCTCCACGCAAAAGAGGTAAACGCAATCCGGCCACCAAACCAGCTGACTTACTCAATCAGCACCCAAATCCACCGCCAAATCCTCCCGCTGAGACTACACCCAATCAAACTACAGCTCAATCGGTGCCCAACTCCCAAACAGCCTCAAATTTGCCCACCCCTGTCTCAAACAAAGCAAACCCTCCGTTGGACACAGCTGAGAAAAACAATGTACCCAGCACTCCCTCGGACAACCTTGGAGCAGACTCCGCCACAGACTCAACTCATCATCAACCGTCAATGCCACCACCCGATTTACCATCTGGGCATGTCCAAAACCAAGCCAAAGATCCAACCCCCATCTCCAGCTCACAAGTTACTACTCAACAACAGCAAACCCAGATCCCCAACCCCCCGCCAGGCCCTACAACCTCTCTTCCATCCGGCGATTCTCAACAGCCCTCTGCTTCTGAAAACCCACCTAACAGTCAAGCCAATTCAAGCCAGCCACAGCCAACTCCCACCGAGTCTCCTCAGCTTCCCAACCAGCCCCAAGATCAACCATCCACCCCTCTTACTAACACTAATATTACCATAATCAAGTCAACTGATGTTCGGATCCAGTTGATTAAGCTCCATCAACAGATCGAAGGGGTCAAACCCAACTGGCAGAAGTATCAAACTACGTGGACTTCCCTCTCAACACTCGTCCAGTTCCGCGCCTTATCGATGGGCAATTTGGCCCCCCACAGCCCCCAATTTCACTTCCAGAGGACAGCCTGCTCTTACAACTCGTGGATCAAGACAATAAGCTCATTGGGTCAGCTTTCTTCTTTTATATTCACCACATGAAGATACACATCCACAAACTAATCTCCTTTCATTTTTTTCAGGGAAGCAATTCTTAGGTCCATCAACCAACGAACAATGGTACTGTCCTGATGTCATAGACCTTCCGCTGCTTGCAAGTTTTGCCAACACAGATGGTACTCTCCAACCGCATCAATTCATCCCACCATCGACTAAATCACCACATCCTGAGTCCACTCTAGTTCGGTTCCTCTTCCGCCTTCAGAACCCTCCAGCCTCCATCATATCTGAATGGGCCAAGATCATTGCTGCCTCTGTCGAGCTCATGGCCAACAACTTGTACAAAGATCCACTACCAGAAACATGTGAAGATGATGACGAAATATTACAAGGCGTGCAAGCGCTCCATCACTTCAACAAGCTCAAGGCTGCCTCCTCCTCCTTTGAAGCAAGCACTGAAAACCCTGCCGGTACCGAATCTCAAGTGGTCCAACGTTCTCACTCAGTTGATGTCTTACAGGAATTTCGAAATCTAATTATTGATGTCTTCATGGCTTATGTGATTTTCCAAACGCACGCGCTCAGTAGCCAACCCCTTGACAGCACCCAGAGAAAGAACCGCTCCCGCTCCGCTCGAAACTCCAACCCCAATCCACAGGGCTCATCTGCCGTAACCACTACCGGGAATACTTCAACTCAGCTGACACAATTGAAGGACGAGGCAAGCAAACAACTTCAAACAATACAATCCCGACAGAACTTCCAACCCCTTGTATACTTTTTACTTGGTGGTGTTCGTGGACTCTTCATTGCCTCCAGAAACCACCAAACCTCCCCAGTCTCGGAATGCATCTATTTCATTCAGGCCATTTCAATAATCAGTGAAACCTCGTCCACTCGACGCACCCCCGAGGAACCCATTTGGAAAAATCTCTCTGCTTACATCGTTAAAATATTTAAACCAGCTTTTGAGTCCCCCAACAAGATTGTTGCACTGCACAAGCCACCCACCTGCCACCAACTTGCCGAAGCAATTACCATTGATTACTTGAATCACTGGAAAGAGATCCAACCCAGTAGTCCCTTCTTAATTCCAAACTCGTCTCGTCAGATTACTCAAAATTGATATTGATATGCTGTTTTTCTCTGCTTGAGGTTTTGTTCCTGTTATTTGCCTATCATTCTTTCAAAAACCACATATACAAAATAGTCAAACTGCTTGTAATGTCTTGTTTCCGTTGGCTCCCTCATCTCCTATTTTGTGTTTTTTCCACGCTGAGTTCCCTCATATATCCAGCTGAAATTAAATTATGATAGTACACCTTAAGGTTTCAGGTGTAAAATGGTCAACTAAAATTCGGCAAACTGCAGAGTGTGTGTTCTCCATACCTTTGTAAACATAACCCGTGGGATATCCCCGGTTTGTCAAGTAAGTACTCGACAAATTTAGTTCTGCACTGTTGACTGTACAGAACTAAATTCATGAAGCCAAATCGGGACAGGGCCCTCATATAAGATACCATACCCAAGTATGTCTTACAATAAAATTGTAATACAGATCCAAATATCATTTGGGAACATTTTCTTTGAGTGAACAGCACAGAGGGTGGATAAATGAAAGTTCAGTCTTAAATTCTCAAACATCAGTATTTTTATCAATCACTCTTGAATTGTGCAACATACACTATCCCTTCTCAATTCAAGCTTGTGTTTGATGGCAGCAGATTAATTCAAACAAGTCCCCTGTTCACTCTCAATGAAAATCCTACAATTTTCTCAAGTCAATTCAATTCTGGTTGAGAAGTATGATTTTTGTGGCGCTCACAACCTTCCACAAGTATCTGTATTGAAATTCAACAGCCACCTACTAACAACCAACACACATTCAAATATCAGTAAATTAACCAGCTTCTCAAGATATGGACAATTCAAGCGGAATTCGACCTCATGACTTGAAGTTGATTTGTCATTCCCTTTAAATAGGTTTTCCAATCAGTTGGCACAGGATACAAGTTTGGTTCAAGATAAGTGGCACTTTTAAATCAAACACCCCTGGATCAAGTGAAGACATGTACATGTATTCCAATTTGAAGGTCAATGGCCAAACGGTAAAAATAACTGGAAAATAACACCCCTTGGACTGTAAAATCATCATGCTCAGTCCACCTTTTTTTGAGATTTTTTTAGAGGATGCTCAACCGCAAGTTTATTTCTGAAAACGGGAGTGGATGAGATAATGCCCAGTGGATATATTCTTTCCTCCTCTCTTCGCCCTCTTTTCTTGTTTCCAATCATCCACAGTCAGGTTGAATCTCTTTGGGGGATTGTTCCTGAGACCATATGGGGTTGGTTCAGACCGCCCCAAGGCTAAAAATCCCCGTATCTTGTGCAATCATAAACCAGCCATTAGCTCTGGAATTTTCCTTGGTCAAGGGGTAAAATTACCAACTAACCTTCACCTTGAGTACTCCATCTTCTTGGGGCAGCCCCTGCGCACTATACCCTTGAACCTGGATCCAATCGCCTCGCTTCAATTGTTGAATTCCTCTCAATGTGGTCGGGTTGCCAGCCAAAAGTTGAATTTTAACATTCTGATTTTGCAACAACCAAGAAAGGGATCCAAAAGATAAATATGTCAGTGTATTACTATAATGATTTAGATCTTGTCCTATCCAATAAAAAAAATTAACCTTTCCAAGAGAGCGATTAACAACCTTGACGTAGCTATTCCATTGGTTTCGGCGATTCCAGAAAACCCCCGCCACATAGACATTCCCCGAGACAACTGCCTTCTGAACTTCATCCTCGACCACGTTTTCGAGTTCACCCAGATGTGCCATCCAGCCACCAGAGGGAACCTCAATTCTAGGTCGAACGGTAATGATTGGTGGAGATGGGGTGGCTAGGTGTCCGGAAATAAAAATCTGGGTATCTCTGTGCAGTATTATAGAAGGGAAAAGAAAGCTTGATGTCTTAAGCACAACATGGAATAGTGCAGTTTTGGATTGGCAAAGTTCTTGTACTACATTTGGACTCGCAACACAACTGAGCAGATGTATATCTTGACCAACCACATGAATGGAGCTGGGATCGGTCAAAGACATGTGAATGTTCCCCACAACATCAATCATAATGTGATAAAATATGTCGATGCTACTACTACTACTACTACTACTACTACTACTACTACTAGTACTAGTACTACTACTAGAAGTGAAGAGAAGTGGAGCCGATTGGGGGGAAAAAATTTTTATACTATCTGGGGGGAGGAACGACACTTGAGGAATGGGCTTGCTCTTATAAATCTTTTTTACCACACCACTCTCGGTTTACCCAATGTAATGTCAAAACAACTCCCCTTCTTGGATATTTGGTCATTGATGATTTGCTGACCCACCACCACCACATAACAAAGGAGTCATGTGCCCAGGTGTTATATCAATGGGATCAATGATGCACCGGTATACCTCCACACCGGCCCTAGTTCAAGCAAGATCATCAAACCATAGCAATCACAAGATCCCTGCACACCACTTGCATCCATGTGATGTGGGGCTGCCAATTGAAACTATATGCCGCATGACAAAGGGGAATGGGCCAAATGCAGCCAACCTAGTTAGTCTGAAGATTTGCCTCTGTTTGGCCTTGTCCTTATTTGGTGGGAGTGCCTGCATAACATCCCATAAATTTGGGGTGGTGCACCATCATGCACCATCTTTTGTCACACAAACGTACGCGCGTACGTTTGTGTGACCTGAATCCTTCACCTAAACCACAGTGGATCATGATTGCGCTACCTCCCCTACAAGTCTCAAATCCCTCCACATACAAGCCTTCTTGAATTTTTCCCCTTGATACAACTCAGATACACAAATCCACTTGGTTGTGTTTTGATCCCGTTAAATTTGATCATTGCCATGTATCTTCTATGCAAAGAATCAACCTTCTGACCACATTCCCATGTCAGGGAACAACCCTACCCTAAACTTTTTATTGGTCCATGTTTTTTATATGTATCAACCTATATCAAACAATTAACAACTCATTATAACCCTGTCTTAATCCTCAAAGTTGGTCACCCAGAAAATTACAAGGAATTTACATGGCAATGATTCCAAGAAAAAATTAATCTTGACTTTTTCCAATTTGGGCACGTCTGAGCTAAACAGTGGAGCCGTGAGGATCTATATTGAACTATGAATGCTGTAATGACGGAAAATTTTCTACATGTAGCTCTTATGACTGGTTCATTTGATTGATTTTGATACCTCCAACTACCATCAAAATATGAATATTCTTACCCTTTACCATTACAGGCTGGTGTGCTCTTCTTGACCCTCTTCCAGTTTGTACCAGCATTATTTGGTCTCCACTCTTGATATATAACTCTTCCATTTACCTCCCAAATGTTTCTTGAACGTTGCAAGATTATAAACTATGATGCTTCACCAACAGCTTCCAGGGCATTCAGACTCCTTCCATTATTAAATTATTAATATGTTGGTTGTCTTTTGTGCACAAGCCATAATTCAAATTGGGGCAACACCTTTTCACCACTCAGATCCCATCATCTTAATTGTAAAACTTTGGATCACCACAATTGTCATTTGTTCATATATATTCCAGCTTTTTAAAAACCACTAGACAGCTCAACACCTCGGGAAAAAGACTCTGGTTTGGGGTATAATCCAGTAAAATTCATGTGAAATAACACTATATCACGGCCATCCCCACACATCTGAAATCCATCTCCTTGTGTTGTTGTCCAAATTTCCATCATTGAGTAACTGTTCATACAACCTTCTTCCCTTCTCCATTTTTTAAATTTTCATTTTTCTAGTATCCAGTGTCAAGAAAAAAATCTTCTGGGGTTTGCACCTCATCACCCTGCCTGGAATTGATCTCCAGTTTTCTTGTTTGTTTAATTGTATGTGTGTTCTGAATGATGTTGTTCCTTTTCTGTGAAGGACCCTCAAGTTTTTTCTGCTCCCCTGGTCAGTCAGAATCCTGATACACCCATGCTGTCACTCAACAAAAAAGGTGGCTTGCTTAATATAACCCCCTTTGACCAAGGGCAACTCGACCGGTTCAGAGTTCAAAGTTCGAACCAGCTTGCACTTCGAACGAGTTCACCACTCAAACGACTTATCACCTCGCACCAGGCATCGAAACACAACCAAACGATCTATTCAAAACACAACGGAACGGTCGGTCACCTTGCTTGTCTCATTCCTCGTACACCGCTTCTCCACTCACTCAACCTGCTCACCTCTTCGCTCACACACTCAACAGCTCGATTCTCCACTCACTCCACCGCTTGCCCCTCCGCTCGCTCAACTGCTCGCTCCTGCACTCGCTACGCTGCTCTCCCCTTCACTGGCTCGGTTCTCCAATCGCTCGTTCGCTCATCGACTTGTGCTTGTATCTAACCAACCCCCTCCTCTTCTGTCCTTCTTCAATCGCGGTGTCCCATGGCCGATCAAAGGAGAAACCAAACTAACAAACCTGGTAAGTATATCAAACTGTCTCATCGCTGCTCTACACCGTTCGCTTTCTGACACCATTGTTCTCTTTGTCTCTGTACCTTCACCTCCACAAACGAATCGTTTGGACCACTCCTCATCTGATCGTTGTTTGAATCGCGAACTGGATTCGTTAACGACCTGTCATCCCAGGATCATTGTCGTCTGGAGCATGCAACTCTTTGGCAGGTCAGTATTTGGCTCTACATGATTTGATTGCTACTCATTCATCTATCAACTCAACACTGATACATTCTCCTTCTCTCACTTTTACTGAATTTTATAGGAGTTCCACTTGGTACACCTTACCATCAAAACAATCGACATGGTGTTGTAGGTGCTACGTTATCAAGCCAGCCTCGGCCATCAGCAATGCCGCCATTTTTTATTCAAACAACACCAACACCGCAATTGTTGCCATTGCACACACAAACTACGGTGAGTCCATTGTTCTTCTTAAGGCCAACATCTATAAAGATATGTCAAGCAAACCAAATTCTGACTGTCTTCTGTACTTATTTACCTTCCTGCACCTCATCATAGTCCGGTACACTGAAAGCACAGTCTTCCGTTTCAATCCAACAACATCAGCCACTGTTTGGCC